GAACAAAGAAGATAAAAAAATATATTGATTGGCTGTTCTCTGGATACTGTGTGGAGCAGGAATGCTGTGAAATAAAGCACACATGATCCTGTAATGAAAAATGTTAACATACTGTTTCAAGGGAAAGGGGAGTAAATGAAGATGCTCACTTCAGAAATGCTGGAACTGGTTAACTCTTGATTAACCGGCTACTTAGTTTTTTTGCGTGTATAGCAGATAACACTGTACAACTGTGCACATATACAATACTCATAATTATTGTCTAAATAACCTGCCTTCCTGACAGGGCAAATGTTCTGATGAATAACTTCGCTGAAAGCAAGACCATTTGCTTGCCCTATCATGCACTCCTTAAATCCCCTGCAATTTGTCAACTTTGAATGCAATACTTCTCCAGGGGCTACCAATGAGCTTTTCACCTCTTTCTCATGTCATCCATTTTCCATTTGATTAGTGGGGACCTGAAGTAATCTTTCTGCTTCACAGAACAACTAAAGCCAACATACGCAAAAATACCAGTATCTTAGGTACAGCTCTTAACACAGGACAAAGGTCTTGGGGGGTATTCAGGCTCTTGTTGGCCCACTGAGTGGCTGAGACAGATGAGAGAAACAAACATCCAGGCTGAAAAAAAGGAAGGATAAGTTAGGAAAACAATGAGGGAAGACAAAAGAAAACATTTTTGAGAATGGGGACTAGAAGAAAGATGTGAGATATTATGATTCTGTGATTTTTATAACAGAGAAGAAATAACTTGTATGGAAACATGGAAGAGAGCAAAGCTCGATGTACTTTTCAATGGTAGGTCAAAAGGTGGAAGGACCGGAACACAAGATGAAAATATTTTTTTTTTCTTTTCTTTTATGTGTCAAATTTCTGTGGTGCTTTTTTTTTGTGGTTTTTTTTTTTTTTGTAGGATTTTTTTAATCTTTCTGTTTTGAAGCCCTTGTATAAACAACATGTACATAAAAATGTTTTAATATTGCTATATTAAACAGATTATTCTTCTAAAGAGAAATAAGTGAAATGATTCTATCTGAAAATAAGACTTGCTGGCATTGTTAAAAATAAAATAAAATAATTCTTTTTTTTTTTCCAAGTCATAAATGCCACTGAAGGAATCTTTGACCACAAAGGTGAATAAGTTTAAAACTATGAGAAGCATTTTTTGTGCCAGTATCTTTTCATCAACAACTTAATTCAAGCACCATCTCTTTTAATCTTCATTATTCCCCCAAAACTGCCAGAGATCAGTTAGTGTTCATGCTATTAAAAACTAATGAAAGGCATAGACTTTAATTTGATAAGTTAAAACCCCTTAAAGGCTTAATGTCATCGCTTTAAATGTAGCATAAAAAGAGCAAAAGGGAGAATTGATTGAAGCTCTTCACCATGGCTGTACTACTCTTGATAGACTTTAAATCTGTAGTTCTGCTACTATATGCAGTATTTTGATACATAAACAAAAAACAAATAAAAGAAAAAGAAGCAAAAAGTTTATGACATTAAAATGTTTGTAATTCCTTCGGCAAAAGGATCTTTTTAAAAAACTGTACAAAAATCAAGTAAGATCTGTACCAATAATACTAATTATTAGTATAATAGTTTGATATTGACCTTCATCTTCTCTTTCTTACTTTCTTCCTACCACCCTTCCTCATATTAACAACCTCATATTCCTTCTAATTTAGTATAATAGTTCAATACTGATCTTCACCCTCTCTTACTTTCTTCCTACCAACTTTCCTCCTAATAACAACCTCATATTCCTTCCAAAGTCCTCATGAAATGAATGGATTCTACCTATATCTGTTATAACTTTCTACCACAATACCTCCAGCTCACTCTACTGACTGTTTTTGGTCCATCATTTTGACAGTACTGGTATCATGTGGTCAAGGATGAAACTTTCCCAAATCACATACGGAATGGACAAACCAAATCCACTGCACTGCATAATGTTTACAAAAAAGAATTGTTTTGCAATCTCAGATATTGACATAGTTTAGAAACAAGCCAAATAAACTGTTTGGCTTCCCTCAGATGGCACCTTGAATAAGACCAGGTGAGACAACACCATGTGGTCTGTACAGAACTAGGTGCACTACTGCCTGACATGTACACTCTTCTGAGGATGCGATATCCCCTAGAAACACAGAGGTGGTGCTGAGGTTCACAAAAATGTATCCTACCTTTAAGATGTTTCCTTATCCCTGGATCAGAAAGGAGTAAAGCAACTAAAAGCAAGAGGGTACAAACAGTCTTGCCAGCACACTGTCTTTGACTAATGTGAAGAAAGGAAGATCCATATTTAAATCATAGCAAGAGACTGTAACATCTGTATTTGTCTTCTTTTGGCTTTAATTTTTTAAGAGAGAAAAATTCCTTCAATATTAATGTGATTCCACTACAGGAACAGGAAAAGTGCAAAATCTGGTAAATTTAGGAGGGATCCCCAAAAGCTGCTTCGCAGACTCACTGCAAATGGTCTCACGAGCTTTTCTCGAGAGTCTGTGTGTGAAACTATTCCCAGATGAGATGTTAGGTGTCATGTGTTGGATTCAGTACCACCCTAAAACTGCTACACAGCCTAGACCAGAAACAGCCAAACCACGGCTGGTCTAAGCAACCACATGAATAACTGTACCCATTTGTATACACATCTCTAACAGGACAACTAGTCTACAGCTCACATAATTATGCCTTTTGATAGTTGCCTGATTGTGTCTTATATCTGTAATGAATTTGAAAAGACTCACTGGTATTTCACAGATATTTTAATGCTAAAAGTCCCCAAGTGGACAGCTAGATTGACTTACTAGATAGTAACAAGCACAAACTGAATAAACGTATTTCACAGAGGCAATTCCACTTTTAAGGTCACAAGTTTTAACTCTAAGGAAACTGCCATCTTTAATTTTGCTCTTATTTAACCATCAGATTTTACAGGGAGCAGGGAGTAATTTCAATAGAGGTCAAAAAGTGAACAGATGATCAGATTTTTGGAGGTGCTGAGGCAGCTTAAGGCAGGCACTTAGCGAGATTCAAAAAAACTTTCAGTGGTTTAGATACCTAAAAATGATTAAAACTCTCGAGAGTTAGACATATTTTAAATATTAGCTATTGGTTTACCTCTTTCTTACCATAAGCTCAGTGTTGCCTTCAGAAAGTTACATTCATAAAGCTTTTTCTTCACCTTTCATACATTGACATTATCCAGATTGCTCTTAAAACACACCTACACCTGGTAATTTAATAAATGTGACAACTTCCCTGTCTTTTAGATATATCATTTAATCACCTTTACAGGCCCCTGGAATAAATTCTTCAAACTCTTTAGATCTCTTGTGCCCTCCATTTCTTAGCTGAGGCACTGGCTTATGTCCTTTACTGATGGGAAAGAGTTCTTCTATGTGGATTTCAGTGTCACTACTGCATTGATACTCAGGTGAGGATCTAGTTCACAAGCTCTTCTCTGTGTTCGAAGATGATCTAATGAATAACCTCCAGGTTTTCTAGCTAAATCACTGAAAAAGGGGAATGTGAAAACCCCCAATATTTTCTGAGCACCTTTCCTTTACAGTCGGTTGAGAGTGTGCTGTGTTCTGCAGAAGGCAGCTTCATCACAGCACGCACCTGTGCTGCTTTTCCTACCCCCTTGGGAATGTTGTGAAAAAGGGGCTGCTCTGCTGTGTATCACAAAGGCAGATTATTCTGGTACAGTTTCTCAGTTTATTAAGAAGTGCCCAATATTGAGGGGATTGATATGTCCCAGTTTGCTCTGTTAAGTCATTATATTAGCCCATTAGTATTAAAATAATTGTGCTCCAGTTAAGACTGCACATCTTGATTAAGGGGTTTCATGTAGTTCATTCCCATACACTGGCCATAAATCTGCCTATTAAACTCACTGTTCTAAAAGCAAATCAGTCTAAGGGAGAAATCACCTGTGCTCCTGTATCAGTGATATATTTTCTTTTGCTTGTTCTCCTCCTTCCAGAAAACAAAACTTGACCTATACTGAGTGATGCATAAAGAAGAAACAAATATAATTATGAAGCAAACATACTTTTATAAACAGGAATGTCAGCCGTATTATCTGCAGCAGGTGGAAGAGATGGAGCATCAATTAAAAAAATACTAGAAAAAGCAGCTGAGGTTTTCTTAAAAAGCTAAAACGTTTGTAGGATGTTAACAGATTCTAAAGCTAATAATAAATAAATTTGCAGCAGTAGTAACAAATTACGCCTCATCAGATGACTATCTTAAATACTGGCCCACAAATTACCTTAAAATTTCTAACCAAGCACTGAAAAAATGTGATCTTTCAGCCTGTCTTTTTTAAAAAGAAAAAAAAAAAAAAACAAGAAAAAAGAAACAAAAAACCCAATTCTATCTGTCTCCATTACTCATTTTTCAAGAGATGTCTGTTTTACACCTAACTTAACTCTAAAACCCACTGCAGGACAAGATATTTACATGATAGAACACAAGCTATCATGTTACAGAAAGTACACATCAAATACTAGGATTTCATGAAGCAAAACTCTACACAGAAAAGAGTTGTGAGTTTTTCTTTTTTTTTTTTTTCTGGGAGGGTGTTAGAGAGCGGTCTGTGTCTATTTTTCTTTTTCTTAATTTGTTTTCTTTCGCTTTTTAACTGCAGCATTGGTGCATTTATTTCCAAATATTGGAATGAAAAATCACTTTGCAACAAAAATACCATTTTTTGTATTAGTTACCACTAAAATATCCCCAAACCCAACACCAAGTTGACTTTATTTTTCTTAGAAAATGAAATAACAAAGATAAAAATTTAGCTCAATAGGTTAGGAAAAAAAATACAGGTGCTATTTAATAGACTATGAAATTCAGAAAATTCCAAAATGTTTTCAGCTAGGCTCAAAAGTGCTGTTAATGATTAGCTGCATAACAAGAGATTTAGCTCTTTTTTTCCTTTTTTTTTTTTTTCTCCTTTTTCTTTTTTTGGTGTGTGTGTGTGTGTGTGTGTGTTGCAAAGGCAACACAGCCATACTGCAGGTCTGCCTGTGCCATTCTTAGGCCACTTTCAGGCCGATTGAGAAAAGCTGGAAAGTAAACACAGGTGTTTTAAAACTGGAGCTGCTGTCATGGACAACCACAAACACCCTTAACTCTGATGTGGCAACGCCTCTTTCCCGCCCTCTCCTTTTTAAAGCATTGCTCAAAAAGAACATGTCAAATGTTTCACCTTTCACCACCTCAAAATAACTTGGAGCTTATAGCATTGTTTGGCAAATCTCAAGCAAAGAGATCATTTTTTCATTCCTTTTTAGATGTAACCAACTCCAAATCAGGCACATAAAATAAAAAGCCATTCTATTTCTAATTATTTTATTTTCAGCTTCCTCTGATTTACCTGAGAGCACCATGTTTCTAGTTGAATGTTTCCTTCCTCAAATATAATGCAGACACCCTGTTTTCATGATTCAGGTTCAACTAAAAAGACAGCGAGGGGATTTTGCAATAACTAAACAAGAGATTTAATCCAGTGAATAAGAGGATAAGTTAAAAAAAAAAAACAACAAAAAAAGAAAAAAACGACTCTCCCCCCCTAAAGAAACCCAAACCCCAAACAAAACCAAAAAACATTAAAAAAAAAAAAAAGAAAAAAAGAAAAAAAAGAACAGCCACAAATCTCCCAAACCAAAAGAGTAAACCTTAGGGTTTTGATTATTGTGCAAGAATACGTACAAAACTGAAAAAGTACTCACTTGTAAATTAGCTGTTCCAGGAAAGAGCACATCCTGTTTAACAGCCATGAAGTACTGACTAGCTAGAGAAAAAAAGCATGGGAAGCAAAAGCAGAATAAATCCCCAGTAATTATATAGTCATTTTTCACTTTTGCAGGTGATGTGTGGGGAGCAGGGGGGGAGAGAAAATAACATATTTAAAAAAAATGAAATAAAGTTATGATTTAGTTCCAAAAAAATAGTAAACTGAACAGATATGGTTACACCAGAACTGAAGCTAACAGCCCCAGCAACACTCTTCTTCCCAAAATGCAAAACTGGATCAAAATCCAGCAAAAGATCATGAAATTTTATATTCAAAGAAGCACAACCCTCACAGCTATACCAACAGCAGATGTATTGCAAACATACAACATTGCTGAAAAAGGTAACAAATGTCAAAATCAAGTCTTACTTATTGTAAAGGATGATTTTTTCCTGTCAGTTTCAGCCTTTAGATTCCAGAAAGACTTTCTGTTTGACATAGACACTTACCCACCCCAGTTTCAAAAAACAGACACCAGACTTACAGTGTGCCCTGTACTCCAACATAAACAAACACAAACACAAATCTATCTTTTATTCAGAAGATAGATAGCGCTCATGCACACGTTTATTTATGTTAAGACAGAAGAAGGATTTTTCTTTTTTCCAGATTTTGTTCGCTGTGGTAAAGAGACAGTATTATTTATCAAAGGATCCATCTGAACAGCCTCAAGCCTCCTCATCCCCTGTTAACTTCAGTGGGCATTCAAAATAGTTCACAATCTGACCTAACTGGCCTCAAGAGTCGACTTGCAAAATTGAACTTTACATTAAAAAACAGTCATTGTAATTTCCGTTAGGCCATTTATCTTGGTTTTGACAAAAATGATGAACTTTTTTTTTTTTTTTTACTTTTAAAATTCTAACCAGTAATACATTTAAAGCTTTACTGAATATAGCCAAGAGAACACAACTGCAATGCATATAAAGCATCAAACTCCTACCATCAGCCAGTGCCACTGAGGGTGCTGTGCATTACCTACCACATACTTAAAAGAAATAACACACAAGCACTCTTATTAACCTATGTATCTTAAGACAGCGAGAAATCTGTAAGGAGCAACCGTAGTCACTATTTTGCCTAATTTGTTATTATTCCTGGCCTCTGCATTAAGCACACGACTTGAAAATCATATACAGTTGAGACTATAATGGACAAATTAGTCTGAACAATACTATGTATAAATTAGCTTGTTCATTGACTTGCATTAGAAATAGTTTTAAAATAGGAGGGGTTTATGCTTGGCTATAATACAGAGCAATAAGGTTTATCTAATCAAGTAAAAAAAGTGCACGAGTACACTAACAGAGAAAACCATCGAACATTCTAATAGCAACAATTCAGAGACAGCTTAAAAAAAAGAGGAGAGAAATGCTTGTTGAAATAAACCTTTTTAAATGCAAAAATTTCCCCCCATACAAATATGCAGCAATAATGGTGTTATTTACCTGCAGATCTAAGAAGTCTCAGAAAGTATGTTTTAAGCTAACAGAGTTAGGGGAACTTTATCAAACCACTAACTACCATTAAGCAATGATAGATTTATCCCTCAGCACTACAGTGACCTCCTGGTCAAAAGCTAATTTCTCATTCCTCCAGCCTTTTGTATTCGAAGTTATTACTCAGCCACAAAAGGAGCTGATTTTCGAAGCAAGAAACTTGTATCTGCATTTTGAGACATAAGGGGCACTTTCAGCTGCACATAACTTCAACAGGAGTTACAGACACTCAGCTGTGGGCATTTATTATTTGATGCAGCTGTGGAGGGCAACTTTCTTCCCCCTCTTCCCCCTGTGTGTCTGAAAGAACTGGCAGGAGATACACAGTAAAACTGCAAAAAAATACTAATAAAGCTTTAACTCTGAAAAGTTAGTCTTACTTAATGAAATGAATTGGGAAATTGATTTTATATTTTAAGAAATGGGGAACCCCTCACCCCCCTAAGAAACAGACTATAAACTGATCCATAAAGTTTTACTCGGATGAATAATAGGTACTCAAAGAAGTAGCTTCCTGTGTGAGGCTTACTGGATTAGGCCCCAGTTTGTGAAAATGTTGTTTCTGGATTCAGACCTGCTATTCTAAGTTTCAGGCTGGAATAAAGTTTTCAGAGTGGAGCTCTTAAGTCCTAAAGATAGGGGTCAGAAGGGAAACAACGCAAGGGTGTGAAATATGCTGTTGCTGCTACAACGTCAGCTCTCTTGGTAATTTTTCTCAAATTACCAAAGAAAAGAAAAATGAAATCTGATGTCACTTTCTTCAAACATAAATATATCTCAGCAAGACTGTGGGTCTTTTTCTCCAAATGAATAACTGAAATAACAAAAATACAAGAAGCAGACATTCCTTTGTGAGGACAAAGTTAAAACATTTTATTTGGGAAGCAGACATGATACAGTTGGAGTTTCAAGGTGCACTTAGCTCTGTTCTAACATTTTAAATTTGACAACACTTGCCAAAAGATGTTAAAAATTGTTTTGTGGTCCAGCAAGTCACTCAGCAAGAATAATTTTTAAGCAGCTTTTCTTTTTGTTTCAGTTAAAATTAAAATCCATGCTGTGTAATCCTTGGAGTCAATCTGTAATTAAGGGGATTTCAAGAGAGACCACGCACTGCATTAATGATAAAATTTAATATCTGTTTTAATACTCTAACATAAGAAAAAAACCCCTAAGCAACATACAAAAAAGCAATCATCTCCCCATTTTGTGTGAATGCAGCATACACACACCATTACTATGTCTAGCAGCAGCACTGTATTTGATGTCAGCATTTTGTTTATAGACCAAATGTTTCAGGATTTAGCATCTACAGAGCTTAAAACTGCATCTGCTTGAAACTTGGCACACAGATTTAATAGGCCAGATAAACAGATTTTATTTTATCTACTTTGGAAAATGAGGTTTTTTGTTGCTACTGTTGTACAGCAATTCCAAACGAAAGAAGCTATCAGCAGCATTTCCAAGGTTTCAGTGACTCTCTTCCCAGTCTTTCCTCCAACATCTAAGACAATAACTGCTCAACTGTAAGAAATAGGAGCAGGTAATGAACTTAAACCAATTCATTTTATGTGATAGTCTTAAATGCTTAAATGTCTAACACAATAAGAAGAAATAATATTCAGCTTTGATATACTATGTCACTCCTGTAGCTATGTGCAAGGAAAAAGTTTGAAATCTGTATCTCTTCAAAATGTGGCAAGTTGACACTGAGCAGTATATTCAAACCATTTACTCAGTTACTAACAGTGGAGAAAAAAGTCCAATTTTTAAACTAGAAATCCTTTCAGAAGATGGGATGAAGAATTAAAAGTATCAGAGCAATGAGGCAATTTATGACACACCCCCCCCCCCCCCAAGAACTCAGTAAGAAGCATGGTTAAAGTAGACGTGTTCTGAGATTTTGGGTGGAGAGGTTTTGAAGGGGTACAATGTTTTCACTGAAAAGGAAAATAGATTCTTTTAATGTGGACATCAAAGGTTTTTTCCTGTTAAAATGTCTTCCAGCCTAAGCTCTTCTAGAAGAGCCAGCAAACCATCAATGTACTTCTCATTTTATTATGTAAGATATCTATAAGATATTTGTTCAAACAAATTTGATCAGATCTCGGAATATTGTCAAAACGGCAAAATGTGTGCTTAACAGATGTGGGACCTAGTCCCGTTAGAATTTAAGTGCATGTGCAACTCGAAAGCTTCAAGATCAAAGTGAGAAAGGTTTCATTTCTTCTCAAAGTTTAGATCCTATAACTAGTAACATTGTCAGGACTGCTTCTCCAACAGTCGATGCTACATATGTGCACAGAAACAGATCTAAAAAAACCCCCACCAAACCAAAACCCCCACAAAAAAACCCCAACCAACCAACGGCAACAAAACAAAACAACTTTAAATGGAATTGCTTTCTTAGAAATAATTTCTCTCAAATTTTCAAAATGTGTGGCCAGTGTATTTGTAAAAAAGGAACTCTATGTGCAAGTCACATCACCACCACAACCCCTCCAGCATAGCAGGTATTTCTTAAGGAAAGAAACAAACATTGAAATAATCATCTTGACTGTGATCCGGAAGGAAACAACAAATTTATGAAACTGTGTGAAATCTGAATATGCCTAGTAAAACTGCGAAAGATGACATCTGCTCTTCAGTGGAAAATCAGTTCTGGAGATGGAAAATCCACTATTAACCAACACAAATCAGAAAATGAAGTCCCAAAAGGTTTCTTTATATATTGGATCAAACCACAAAATGACATTTGGGTATTTGAGTTTAATTTTAAATTGCAAAGTTGGCTGCTTAGCAGCTTCACACGATCACCAATATGCATTAATAACACATTCAGGCAATGTGATATACACTTATTTACTGTTATACAATAGTATTTATTACTTCAGCTTCCTATCCAAAGTTTAAAGACAACTCTTTTCTAATTTTACCTTTTTATTGCTTTTTCTTTGTAGGATATATTTACCTTAAAAGTAAGGCAGGCTGAATTTTGGAAGTAACAGCACAGCTGACCGAATTTTAGAGGCATAAGATACTGAAGTTTTAATTGCAAACATATTTCATGGCAGAAATCAGACCTTAGAGTGTTTTCAGTGAATAATTCATTTTTTGTACACGTGTAATAAGCAAGTTTGATTCAGCTACATGAGAAAGCTATGCATGCAAAGTTTCTAAATGTGAAGATAAACCTAATATATGTACAGTTGAAATACTAATGCATTGAGATACTTCTGCTGATGTGAAGCATACTTTATATCTTTCAAGACTTCAAATAATAAAAAACAAGGCTAATGAATTTTATATGCCAAATTCTACAACTGCTTGTGTTTATCAGTAAAAATAATATACTTTCTGAATAGTGTGCCCACACAGGTTTTTTTATGGTTAAGGTCTGGAAACTCAGAATTAGTGAATCTCAACTTTACTTCTCTAAAGCTTAGCTGTGGGGAAAAGCCAAAGTCCAGATGCCAGTCCACAATCTCATAAGACAAGCCAGGAA